AGGCCGGGTTTTTTTTTTTTTTTGGGGGGGGGGTTGTGGGGTTTTTGTTTTGGTTTTTTTTTCCCCTGAATGGTGAAAATATCCTTGTTCACAAACTTCTCTCCACAAGTGTGTGTGCCTACATGTGTAGGTGGGAGAGGATTATGCAGACCACAGCTATTTTCTTGCACCAGTGTAAGGGCTATTAACTCTTCCATGCAGTCTCTTCCAAGGCTGAGACTGCCTTGACTCAGGGAGGCAATCTGAGCTGTATTTAGCATTGCTGTGAACTCTTTAAAAAACAGTGGAAAAGAAGAACCTTCCTCCAGTCACAGAGGAGACAGTCTTTTCATAAAATACCAGGTATGCTAGAACTGGAGCAGACAAAGCCAAAATATACATCAGAGTAAGAGCAGGTCAAAGGGAGCTCAAGGCTGATTTCTATAATCCCTCCACAGATTTTCTTTTTGCAAAAATGACAGCATTCATACTTGGATGCATTGGTTAAAATAGCTTGGAGAAAGCCTATGAAACTAGTTAAAAAAAAAAAAAATGTTGGGAAACAAGTGATGTACCTGAAGTCCTTCTCTCACAGCTTCCAGAAGATATGGCACCAGTGAATAGTTCCAGAGGTCTGTGAACCACACTCTGGAGCCATCAACATCCATAGGGCAAGGGAGGAAGAGACGAGGACCTGAGAAGTCAAGTTGTATATTAAAAAAAGTAGAACTAGGGAACACACTAAAAATAATCTTTGCAGAATTAAATAGTATTGGAGCAATATCAAATGAAAAGAATACTAATACAAGACCAAAATAAGGGAGCTATCAGTCTCCTGTTATAAAAAATGAACTAGTGTCACTTTATCCAATTCTAGGGCCTGATGAACGCTTACAAGTTTTATGGGCAAAGCTATGTAAAACGATGACTTCTTTGCTAATATAGCTATTCCACTAAAAGATCGCAGGTACATGTATATCTACCACCTGCTAGTTTGCTGAACTGACTGTCCATGTGTTTTTATTGCTATGATTATACTGCAACGTGAAAGCAGGGAAAAAAATTAAGCTTAGGAAAGTTGTTACCGAGGTAATTTTTTTGTAAATTTAACTTTTAAAAATTATGATCATTTACTTGAAAGTCTTTAGCAATCAAGGCAGAAATACCAGAAAATACATACTCTTTCATTAAACTTTCTATTTTCATTTCAATCTTGCTGGCAACTAGACAAATTTCCCACACTGATGTACATTGAGAGGTGACAACTTTTAAAAGGTCATATATCCTTCACAAATCTCTAAAATGCTCAGCCTGCATCCTTATTTCAAATGACTCCACCAATGGACTCACCAATGGTTACATCTGAAGAGCTGTGCGTTTCTAGGAAGCTGTTGAGATGATGCCATGTTTTGGGGATCCAGTCAATGATTTTGATGAGCTCATTATTGCGTGTGTTCCTTTCTATTTCAGTTTCAATCAGTTTCCTTCTCAGATATCTGCCCAAGAAACCTTTAACAGGCTCTGTGTGATTAGCACACAGCACCCACCTGGGTAGAAAGTATAAATGTCAAGCAGCAATGAATGGCAAACGCATAATTTCCTCTTAAACACACAGATGAAGATAATGTCCTAAGTTCTGAATCTCATTAGTCAGTAATTATAAAACTGCTCCAACAAACCACATTATTGCTGACTGCTACAATACAACCATTATAGGTTTTAGCAGGAATTCAAGACACTGCAGAAGACAAGTGAAGGCAAGAATGCAACTGTCTTCATCAACTTGCTAGACATGCCAGAAAGTACCTTATTTCTTTCATTACTCCCCAACACCATTCAGAGGCCCATCAATACAGGAGAGACACAGAAGCTAAAGTGCTTTGCTGTGATGAGACACAAGATCAGTGTTTGTCGAAGAACTGGGCTGAGAAGCAGGGAGCTGTGCAAACACAGCCGCAGTAAGTACAGAGTGAATGTACCTGAAATTGTGATGCAGCTCCAGATTTGGTGAAGAAGAAACTCCCTGGTTCATGGTTCCAATAATATAGGGACTGAAAAGAGAAACGTATCAGTTTTTTTTGAGGGAGAATTCATTCAGATATTGAGAGGATATTCTTTCTTCTAATTTGCACGAGGACAACTTTAAAAGAGTCTCTGGATGTATTTTGGTCTTAGACTTAAAATATTTCTGAAGTGCCCTTTTTTCATGTTTATTCTTGTATTTCCCTCTCTGCACATTTGCAGTTTACTAGTACTCTCATCTGTAATAAAGAAATAAATGGGGCAACCCTGTCTTCATGTACCTCATAATTGTGCAGTAGGCTTAGAGTTTTAATTTCAGAAGCCAGTGAATCTCATGAGTAAGACATAGCATTCAGTGATTTTACAAAGGGAAGTCCCTATGATGTCACTCTTACAGCAGAAATAGCCAATGTTATAGGCCAGCAAAAGTTACAGAAAACATTATTTTGATTCTTGCTTGGCAATAAAGGACAGTCATCAAAATCCATACTTCTGCACTGCTACAGGAAAACTGTAGGAAGTGCAAGTCTGCCAGATATACAGCTGCTTCTGTATGGCATGGTTTGTGGGTTCACACATATCTCAAATTCCACTATTATAAAGTGCATTTCTTCTTACTCTCCCATAAGCTCTCATCATGGTGCTAATGAGCTTGTGTGATCTGACAGGGTGAAAGGGATAAGACCCTAATTCAGTCAAGCATTTAAGTACATTCTTCAATTCTGTGGTACGTTTACATCTCACTGAGATGCATGGAGGTCATATAAATGAAGTGAAGCAGACATCTAAGTACTTGCCTGAAGAGGATTAAAATTATTCAAGCATATAAGGGCTTTGCTGACAGCCTATGTAAGTCTAAGTTTCCACTGGGACATTCTATTTTGCAAAATAGCAAACAGCTTTTACTTTTTTAATTACAAAAGATGCATGAAAGTGGAGACAAGAACGACTACCTACCACTTATTATATTTACAGTTGAGGAAACCATTGAAGATGTCACTTAATGAACTGATGTGGTGGAGGTTATCAAGAATTATGACCACAGGGAGGTCAGCACCATTGTTGTCAGCACTGCATTGCTCAGCTAGGTTTGCTAGGTATTGTCGCAGATCCTTCAGCAGAATTAATATAAAAAAAAACACAACAAAAACAAACAGACAAACCACAACAGAAAATAACTGAATTAGACCACAGAGGTAATTTCAGTGGAAAAGATTTTCAGAAAAATAAAGAGGCTGCTCCAGAGATTCCCCACTGTGGATCGTTCAGCTGGATCAACACATGCAGGTAGATCTGCTTCTCAGACAGGGTAACATTGAAGCCACATGCTAGGAAAAACAGAGACACTAAACATAATCATAGAATCATAGAATCTCCTGGTTGGAAAAGACATCTGAGATCATCGAGTCCAACCATACCTGTCCACTACTAAACCACATCTCTGAGCACCCCATCTAGCTGTCTTTTAAACACCTCCAGGGATGGTGACTCAACCACCTGCCTAGGCAGCCTGTTTGAGTGCCTGATAGCCCTTTCAGTGAAGAAGTACTTCCTGACATCCAAAGGCAAGTGACTAAAGCTTACACATTACTATTTAGTGGATACATTCCTTAGAAAACTGCTGATAAAATATCTTATCTCAAGAGGAAAATAGGTTGCCATAAAATATGCCATTTCCAATGGGCTGAGATATTCACATTAACTGTTGGACCTCCATTCTTATGAATGCCACATTTATATATAAAAAAACCCCATCAAATTATCACACAATTTACGCATATTGATCTGCTCCTTCAGGTATCTCATTTCACCACTCTCTCTGAAAATATGTTTGACCTTTTGGGGATGCTATATCTTGTAATAAAATTTGTTGTGTAGATTCTTTTTTTCTGTCAGCTATCAGTCTGGCTGCTATTTAGTGCTGGAGTAAAAGAGAACTTTCTATAATCAAAACATTTCATATTTTTCTCAACATCTTGCTGCCCCTGAAGGTCTGGGCTAGTCAAGTTTTACAGCTGTATCCCTAGAGGTATCTAATTTTGTCAGTGTCAGGAATGCTCAGAACTATGGACAAAGTTCTTATGAGCTTTTTAGCTCCTGGATCAGGGATAGTAGATTTTTTTTTTTCTTTAATGGGAACATGCAATCTTTTTATACGTCAAGAAAGATTTTTGTTTGGCTTTTTATGATCAGGTGTCTCTAGGGGAACATCATGGGTTTCTTCCATGGAATAGCACCATCTGTATTATTCAAACACACTCAGTATTTGAAAATGTTGTTTTTCCTTTTTTGCTACAAACTCAAAAGTTCTATATAAATCTTAATAGAAACAAAATAAAAGAAAAAACAAAAAAACCCCACACCAGAAACCCAAAACAAAAACACATGCAACAATCAATTTACCAGAAATCCAAAAGCTTGCTCTTTCATGGAACAATTTTCATTATAAATGTACATGATATAACAATAAAACATAAACATATCCCCTGCCAAAGTAAATGGCATCACAAATCCTCTGTGTAAAGACAGTGAAAAGTAGTATTTTTACTGGAATGGTCCTCTCACCCTTTTGGGATATATATGTTCCTTCTTATGTTAACATTCATTATGCTCTATGCAAATCAGAAAGCTCTGGGCAAAACCTTTCATTTTCTTTCCCCTGGGTATCAGGTTAGGAGTATACCTAATTTAGGACAGCAAGCGAATGGTATTATCTGTGGCTAGCACAGCAGTCATGCTAGAAGCGTGGTAATCTGAGCTATGTAAATCACTGTGAATGTGACGTGAAGCATGAGGCAATTTTAGTATGGTCAGCTTCCTGACTGATGCACACCAGAAACCGTGGCAGCAGTTGTATTTATTCAGTGCTGATTAAGAAGCTGAACCAAAGACAGTAATTCAAAATCCCCATTCTGAAATCTTTGCTAACAATAGGCTGGTATTATCGCTATTAAAAAGCAAGTTAAAAAAGCAAGCTAGACTAGTATTACTGTAATCAGCAATTTTGTTCTTGTAATTATTACATGTAATCAGCAAAATCGTTCTTTCAGATGAAGAAATTACAGACACTATATGAACTGAATTTATATAGGAATTTGACTCTGTATCCATCCTTAAGGTGGGTTCCCCCAAGTGAGGGAAAATTCAGACTTTCTTTCACAGTGCTTCAATGGTTTGTTTAGATCTGGTCTCTATTCCTAACTGAGATTGGAGACTGAATTCTTGTAGGCAAACAGGTCAACTGAGCAACAAAATAGTATGCCAATCAATAGGATCTGCTCTGCATTATCACTACAAATTGGACAATACATTATCTTTTCATTTGTAACTTACCTTGCTTGACTTGTGATCTACATTGAAAGTTGCAATTGCATCCTCAGTTTTTTTTCTGCCAGATTTAGTTATAATATATTCAGCCAACCTGTTAGCCAAATAGGTCTTTCCTGTGCCACTGGGTCCCGACAGAATAATTCTCCGATGCTCCATCAGTAAATTAAAGTACCGCTGGGTAATTGGCTTAGGAATTAATGTGTCAAATACAAAACTGTCCAAACTGTTTTCTTCTGCTCCTGGGAACAAAAGAAAAGAAAAAATAGCCTGTCTTCATCCTTGCTAAGGTAGGTAAAGGTTTGGTCCAGCACCTGGTGGCATCAGTGCCATTCTCAAAGCAAGGTAAGATTCTTCTGCCTAAATCAAATTCCTATCAAGGGCTTCATTACTGTAGTAATGTGTATATCCTTCCACAGGGCCAAAAAAACTAAACAGTGGTAGTGGAAACAGATGGGTGGGAGAGATGAAATGAAAGCAAATGTGAAGAGAAGGCTCAGTGGGGCAAAGATGTATGTTTCAGGCACTACAGGCAGCAATGATGAAAAAAACAGGTCAAAGTGACAGCCACAAGGGTTACTAGTTGTCACATCAATGTATGCATAGTTCTTCTGAAAGCCCCTCTCCCCTCCAATAGCAAATCCCTACAGCTTTTGAAATGCATTGAATTTTTCCTGTGGAACTAGGTAAGGTATAAATATTTCTCATCATAATCTGTTTTGGAGTTGTGTTTTTTTTTGCCACTATTCAGAAATATGTACTTTGCTGTGATTTGGCTGTCAGGCAGAGAAGGACAGAGATATTCTTACATTTGCCTCAAAATACCCCATTGTATTAGGTGTAGTACAATGTCATACTGTTTATGTGATGAGTGATGTGATGAGTCCTTGAACTGGAGACAAAATACAGAAAGGTCAGGTGCAAGACAAAAAATGTGAAGAGAGAGGGGACTGCAGTGAAAAACTCTACAGTATCTGCAGAAATATCCTTGGAGTTTTACCTTTCAGGTTCACAGTGATGACATTATTATCTCCAACTAGATATCCACAAGGCAGCAGTTCAGGCACTTCTACACTATTGGTTCTAATTACATCCCCTATACAGTAGCTAGCAATGCAGTCAGAGCTTAAACCCAGGCTAGTGGTAGGATCCACTCGGAAAATATATTCCTGAAATTACATGAAAATATAAGACATAAAAATGGTTATTGAACAAAAGCAGCTTGGAAAATATTTTGGTTCAAGTGAAGTCACTTGACAAGGAGTTCTTGCAGTCACATTCAATAGAGAACTGCGTACAAACATGAAAAAAGAACAGCAACCTTAAGAATAAATTTTAATAGTAGTGTTAGCTATATGTCAAAAAAACAGAACAAAGCAAAAACTTGGCAAGACAACCCAGAGTACAGAATTTATCTCAAGTGAAAAAGAAAATTGAATTAATACTTGAACTAATTTTTCACTGTCTTACCTTAAAGAGACGTCTGATTACACCATCTAAAACGTCCCATTTTGTTTTTCCACTGACTCCAATTGATCCTATCAGATATGCATGTGGTTTTTGATCCTGCAAAGAGAGATTTTTGGAAACTGAACTAAAAATGGTGATAATTAGTTTTATATAAAGATTCATATTTTTTCCAGTGAAGAAAAAGATTATTATTTAGAATGTGATGTTACAACATTGTTAATAATACCTGTGCCAGATATAGGTATAGAAGATACTACTTTGGCACATCTCTGTAAGGAAGGAAATACGGTATCTTATTCTGCACTTAGATTGTATCTGTATTTATAAAGAGCTGAATATAAATAAATTTGCATTGTATTAATAATTTTTTTGTAATACAGAGCATGAAAACACGACAATGCAATTCCAAATTGGTTACCTCAGCAGCATATTCATAGTTGTACTCTAAGGGGTCCAAGACATAAACCTAATTTATAATGACTTTTAAATTGAGATAGCAAGTCCCAGAACATTCTGCCACTAATTAAACTGAGAATTGGTAGTGTCTGAGCCACCACAAAGGCAGAAGAAGGCCATATCACATTATTCTATGGAGAGTGCCTAACTGTATTGAATGTGGATGACAGAGAAGAGAGCTGCTATCTTTAGGATATTTCCCTTCAGTTCCTGGCTGAAAATACTGAAACAAGTTGAGCTACTATATTGCAAGATATGCCTGAGCTATAATTCTGCATCCAGACCTTTGGGTAATGAACCTACCTTGGCTCGACTATAGCCCTTGTTTATAGTGACTAAAATTTTCACACTATGACCTTCTTTATGGAGTGCTCCATCAGGGGCATCATCCAACAAAATATCTGCAATAAAAGAAGTAAAGGAAAGTGATCAACCTGACAAACCACATCAGTTATGTTCATATCATCAGTTCAATATTTGTTCAAAGGGTTTTCCGTTAAAAAGAAAGACTGCTATCATAATAGCTTGCGATCATTTTAATCTGTATTTATTCCTAATTTGCCTTTTCTGTTGGAGATGAAAAAAAGTTACAATTTGACAATTTTTGAAGCAATATTAGCAGCTTTAATAATGTAGAAAGAAATAAATTCTTGCATTATAGTCATGCCTTCACTTTTCTTCCTCGAACTTGTTAAAAATCACCATATGTCCACAAAGTAATGTTGTTTAAAACCTAAATTAAGTTTATAAATTTGGGCACTCATTGTGCCCTTTAGAATGACGTAAGAAGAAAACAAACAAATCCTTGCACTGATATGTTTCCTTATAAGTAAAATAGCATTTTAATTTCTCTTTCCAGCTGATTTCTTTACTTTCTGTACACATGGCATAGATAGAGCCTTTTTTAACCCCACAATGTAGGCTTGTAAATAGTATACATTAGGAGAACCACTTTGCAGCGTTACAGAATATGGGACTCGGTATTCAGTGAATCCCTTAAAAAAAAGTTGCATTTTTCTTGGAGGTTAAAGAGGGATTCTGATCTGCTCTGTGTCTCTGTTTATACCTCCTCATTAACTCCTAAAATAAGAAAGCAGAAGAATGTATTTCTTACTGAAGGCTGAGCCTACAGCTTTATTGGAACAGATAAGACTGACATCTTCCTCTAGAAGTTGTCTCAGAGATTTTACTGCTAGACGTTCAAGCTAAATATCAAAGTAAGAGATATTATGGATTTGCATTTTCTTCAAAGACCAGCACAGTAATCTACTACCCTAAGTCCTGCTTGTTCTTGTTATGATGATTGAAGAAAGGCATTGACTTCATGACATAGTTTGTGCAAGGTCAGATTTCACCCAAATTAAATGAGGTGCCAGTAAAGTTCAGTCACTTGCTCAAAGCAAAACCAAAGAAGACTTATGATTATGACTTCAATTAATGTATTAAAAAAATAAGTCCTCATGTAAAATGTTTTGACAGCTTACATCCTAATCTAGAAATCAGATTCTGCTGATTATTTTTTAAATTGACCAAATGAAGAAGCATTTTTGTTGTGTGCTTAAAAAAATCCATGCTTGTTTCCTTCCTAGCAGCCAATTTTCCTTGCCACCAGCACTGAATGTTTCCCTTTACTTGTACTTCAGCATATTTGACAAATCTTAAGAGTTTCTATAATGTCGTAGTTCATCTGAGGGCAGTATGTGATATAACTGATCCCCATATGAAATTTTTCAAACTCTAAATGACCCTCATGTAGCCTTTTACATTTATTTTTCTGTAAGTCTTTAGGAATGAGGCATTACTCTGTGGCTAGAGAAAAATTCCATTTTCTACTAAGACCTAACCCTCTCACTGACACAAGGGGCTAAGAAGATGCCCAAGGGGGTCTAATTTCATGGTGATGCTAATTGTTTTAATTACGTCCTGCCAGACCTCCTTCTTAGGTGCACTATGGTGACTCAGGCTCATTTCTTGTCTGAGCTCTGACACCCTTTTTATCAGACAGTCGAGACAGAGTCCTGTACTGTTCATTATTTGCTGATCTTTAATAAAGTGACTGAAATATGGGTGTTTATGACCATCGAGCCCCTCCCCAGTTTGCCAATCACACCTATCTGGAGATGGTCATACCCTTGGGAAGCGTCAATGGATAACTTTGGTCATTTCTAGATGACCACTGGTCATTTGGAGACACTGGTCTCCCAAAAAGTATAATGGCATTTTGTAATATAATGAGACAAAGGCCTTGTTATCTCTCTCAGTTTAACCCTCAGCAACATTAACCTCTCCATATCTCAGGGACTTTTGTTCAGTAGCACTCCAGCGGCCACAGAAATCCCATGAGACTTGGTAGGAAGCCGTCATCCTTCAAACTTCTCTGACACAACAAGAAAATGATACTCACAATGATAAAAAAGGCTGGATTCACAATCAAATGAAATCCTCCACTCCTCATTAGGCGCCCTTATTTCTTTAATTTCTTATAACCTAAAGTAATTACTTTGCATGCTAGAAAACATTTGGAACCAATAACACAGAAAATTATGTAAAGCTTATATTATGTTTATTCCTGTACCTAGACAGAGTTAGTGCTAAGCAACAAAGTGCTAATAGTTGTTGTTCATGAAAGAGTTTCTACAATTACTATTTAAAAAAATATTCTGGGTTTTTTTTTGTTTTGTTTTGTTCTTTTTTAGTGTGTGTGGATGTGTGAGCAGGAACCATAGTTAAACTTTTCCTCCCTGTTTTTGCAACACTTCCTTGTATACGGAGGCCTAGCTCAGGCTCATCCATGCTAAAAGTTAAATCTGGCAAAAAAGTAGGCTGGAATGTAAATTAAAAAATACCTATTTTCATATAAAATCTGATATTAACCAGAAGTAATATTCAAATATCCATGTAATCTGTGACTGGCAAGATAATACAACTAACTGCCAATCCAAATTATAGTCAGGCAGTTTGGCACGTTCCCAACTGTACCCTTGCCCAGACTCTTTCTACAATTATTAGCCATATTTTTATTGCTTCCAGACACTGCATTATACTTTCAGTGGAGTCTACAGCAATGAGTGCTGCTTTGCTTCTGCTCTGCTCCTGGTTCTAGTGTTAGAGAGCACTTCTGTTTCTTGTCCACTTTGTCAAAACAAGTGTAGAAAGCTTATTATCATAAACTTTATGGCACAGAAATAATCAAATCACAGAATCACAGAATCACAGAA